CTCTTGAAAAATATATTTCAATTGAGCACTGTTGAATGACAAGCTAATTCTATAAACCCCAGCCACCTACGCTAAAAAGCTCTTCAGTAAAAAGAATCGAGCACTGTGGCATTTGTTTACATTCGTAAAAACAATACGCTAGATTTAGCTAGCTCATTCTGTCGAATGGAGATAGCTCAATGGAAGAGACCCTCGCTGACACCAAATCGGTTTGGTTTCAATACTGGCTTGGGGCATTCGGATGCCTAGTCGCACTGACGAGCTGTAATACAGCGAAACACTACTGTCTGCGAATGATATACATATGAAGAAATATAGTTTTAAGTTGTGCTATATTTATGGAATAAATTGCTCATTATCAAGGATAGAGCCTATGCAAATATAAAAGTGAACATTGAAGTCAACACTCAGAGGCGTCAAGCCAGCCTGATGATTGCGACTAGCATGAAACAGCCTGTCGTCTCCGAGTGTTGACTTCAATGTTCACTTTTATATATATATATGTGTGTGTCTGTGTTTTGTGCATGTGTGTGTATATATATCTGCGTATATATATACAGGTGAGTGTGTATGCATGTTTTCGTGTGATAAAAGTACTGTATTTATAAAAGATTAATATACATAAATCTTAATGCATACAGGTGTGTATTTGATATGAATACATATATATATATATATATATATATATATATATATATATATATATATATATATGTGTTCATATCAAATACATACCTGTACACACACACACACACACATATATATATATATATATAAATACACACATACACACACACACACATATATATATATATATATATATATATATATATATATATATATATGTATGTGTGTGTTTGTGCGCGCGCGTATCTATTTCTCTGTAGAGGATTTATCACGCAGGGATTTAGGTTCATATATAAATGGATGAATCTATATATTTAAGTTTGTGCGTACAAGTAAGAAGGTCAGAGTTAATACCTTAATGAAAAGAAATAGTTTCTCGTAGAGTCTTTCAAACAAGCAATGAGTCATGTTTTTTTTTTTATCTTGAGGCGCATTTTCTTCTTTTTTTACCCTAACGCACCCTGTTAGATTATTCCAAAAGATTCAATTTATGCGTGTGAAAATGGCATTTTCACTCGAATGCTTGATGAATATAAATTTATTGCTGATTCATTATCGGTAGTTATTAAGAAACCATGATATTTGCTGAAGTATTAAAGTATATTTTTTTAAAGTGATTTAATATTGCTGTTTTCCCCGACTCTTCTTTTTCCAAAATTGGAGCTTTTTATACATTTTAAGTAAAATAAAAAATATGTTGTTATTACTTTCATTGTATTGCAACTTTCAGATGAATATATGAGGAGATACTGAAAAGTTTTCCATGTGTCTCGACAAATCTGAGAATTGATAATTCGGATAGATTTTGCGCAATACACCAAGCCGAGTATTTTTAGCATATTGTTATAATAATACCGTTTTGTGCGAAAGAAACAGGAACAGACAAGAGTGTTGAACTATTATGTAATATCGGGTCCTCCTCCTATATAGCAATGAATACTGGACAATCTCTTCACGGATGAAGAAGAGCCAGAAAGAAACAGAAATATGGTTCTACAAAAGGATGCTGAGAATACCACAGACTGAACGAATAAGTTTTAGAGAAAATGGAAACAAAAAGGACATTTATATGTACCTTTAGAATGAGACAGTTGAAATTTAGGGGACACAAAATTAAGAAAATGCTTTGAAAATTTGACACTCAAAAGACATAATAAAGGCAAGCGGGACAAGTCGTATATCCTACCTAACGAGCCTGTGTAAATAGTTGACCAAACAGGGATTAGTAGAGATAATAAAAATACAAACCTCACTAAGGGCTACAAAAAACAGAAATTGTGCAGAGCCATAATCGTACACATACCAAAGGGACACGGTACATAGAAGATGTACTGGTGCCAGTGGCTTTTGTTTGAGTTCAAGTTTCCAATGTTGATTTTCAAGGCAGGCGGGTTGTCATTCTCAAGATTAGCGAAACAGAATATTTCTAAACTTGGTTTCATGCTAGACTAAGTAAATCTTATAACTCTTCGTTTTTATGTAAATATATTCAGTGCAATAAATTTAAATCTTCTTACGAGAAAGTTATTTTTAGTTATAGTTTAAAAAAAAATGTTCATGCTGTCGCTACTTGTATGATAAAAATGATGGCTCAGAGCCGAGTGCTCGAATATTACTTACCTTTTCATTATATTTTCATTTCTAATCCTGCAAAATCATGTCTCCCTTTTCAGCATGTTACTAGACAAATGGCATCTAACCAATGACCATTTTCTGAAAATTAAAAAGAAATCTTGAAACTTTTTTGTCCTTTCCTCAATCGTTCCTATTCTCGTTTTTTTCCCCTTCTCTTTCAATTTCATACCCCGTAACCCATTGCGTTCTAGTGGTATTATCACCTTGCTTGCGGTGATACGATTAAAAAAAAATGTTCTGGAAAAAATATCAGTCATTTTGGGGGCTAACACATTCCTATTTATCTATGATCTGATCGTATTGTTATCTTCTAGAACACTTTTTTTATTATTTAATGACTTTTTTATAAGTAAAAAGCAAAGGTTTAAATTCTTGTTCTGTTCAGGTAATTCTTTGTGAACAACAGCTTTCATTCTTAGTTAGATGTGATTTGCAACATTTGATTTGTTTGAGTATCAACGATTCCGTTCACAGAAGTTACCTTTTCAATTAACTCTCTAATGCCTAGGGTTAGCTTCGGGATGCTTCAGTTACTATTTTTAAACGCCCACTGCATGTGACATGTTCTTTATACGTTGGAATTATAAATGAAGTATCTACGAAAATATTTTATGCGGAAAAGAAAAGAAATATCTTTCATGGAAGAATTTCTATTTGAGATGGAAGTCCGTCTGACAAGAACAACGGATTCGGATCCTGAAAATTCGTTTTCGTCGTTAAATTTTTGTATTCACCACAGTCAGTGTCTGCACAACCACTGAATGTTATAAATCTATAATAGCCAAAGAACGAAATTATACAAAGGCTTTCCCACATAGCAATTTATTTTATTTCGTGGGTAACTGACTGCTAGAATTTTGCATAGAAACCTAGAGATAGAGAAAAAGAGAAAAAATTAAACGAATGACGAAAATGAATGAAGAAAAATGAGTTAAAATGAATGAATGAATGAATGAGGAAAGAAAGAAAAATAAGTAAAGAAACGTAAACAAGCCAAGATGTAGAAAAGAAGAAAAATAGCAGATGGCCAGGAAACTGAGTCGATTGTCAGTGATGAGGAATGCAAGAGGTGAAGCCTATTCACGTAGTCTAGAAGTGATGAATGTTCTGTGGGCGCCTACCTATGAATGGAGCCAACTAAAAGCCTCGTATAGTCAAGAGAAGATAAAAATAGAAAAGAAGAAAATGAGTTTGCTACCATAGATGAGAAGTGGCAAGATCAGATGGTCGAGTATAAAATGCTGCTTTTGTTTCAGGATGATTAAATCTTTTTATTTAACAAAGTAGTAAAAGGCTAAATGGATATGAAGAGAATTATGCTTTTTAAAAAGATGCAAACCAAATAAGAAAAATATCAAACCCAAACAGAAAAAACGAGAGTAAAATAAAAGGATAAATAGAAAGATATTTGCTGAATAAAATGAATATGAAGTGATCAACGAAAAAAAAAATTAATATTTGAAAAAAATATGCCAAAAAAGAAAAAAAAGTTAACAAGAGAAAAACAAAACAATAAAAAAAATAATACATAACGAAAGGAATAAATTCAGTGGTGGTGTCAACAATATGTTATTCAGGGTCTTTACTAAATAAGAAAAAAATGAAATGACAAATTTTGAGCAAAGAACAATTCATAGTTTTGCATCCTGGAAATAACGTTGTTGAAAAAGAAAGAGAGAAGACTTATAAGCATTGAATATTCTGCTAAGATTGTCATCAAAAGTTTTGAAGACAACAGAAGGCGGCGTAATGAAGATTATTACAGCCAAAGACTGCAACAGAAGTGACGATATCAAAAGAATAGTAAATTTCGACAACATGGAGATATAAATAAGATCATTAATCATATAACAAACCCTCAAAATTTTTCATTAGATCGTGTATGCTGTTGTTTCTGCAGACCACACAGAAAAAATGAAATGGAAGTAAATATCTTGAAAATATCGGCACCTTTCAAAAGAGTCTAAATAAATTCTGAAACATGAAAGCGACAGACAGACCCTCCGATAGCACAATTGACAATTTCTGAATAAACTTGGAAGAATTGAAAATTCAAGGAGGAATCGAATCTATACATTACTGAAATCAGAAAAAAGACTGATGAGAACATTTGCTGGAGTGTTAGATAGACAATAAATATATAGTTAATACAATGAATGGAATACTTTTGTTTTATCTGACAGGCCATTCATGTTTATAGAGATGAACGTAGAGTATACATAATGTTCCATCAAGGAAAAAACTTGGTCTTTCAAAAGTGTCACTTCTAAAATACTTTTAATTTGTGACATATGTGGACATCGAAGGTTTTAAAATATTTCATATCCCATAGTGTTTGAGAATACATATAATTATAAAATCTACAATATCAAATGGTTTAACTTCTTTACCTTTACGATGAGTGTGTATGAGCTTTACATATTTGAAAATAATTTCTTGCAAATTGTACGATTATACAAGTAGAGTTTAAAGAAGAGCTTTTTGATTCCCGACGGTACATCTAGATGACTTTATAACATAAAACATGCAGTGCTAGATGTAAAAGCCATATTTTGTTGTTAAACCTTTGGGGGCAAACAAATTGAATTTAAGTGCGAAAAACATTTCCTTTAGTTTTTCTTTTTATTTAAGTGTGTGTGTGTGTGGGGGGGGGTAACTGTAATGCCTGACTTGAAATCCAACATTAAATTTTTTATGTTTATTTTTAATTTTCCCCCATTTTCAAATCTATTTTTCAGATTTTCTCCTGAACTTCGAACCAGAAAATAGAATAATGCGGACCAAAATGATTCGTACACTTTCTCGCACGTCTGATGATGAAGATCTTCAGTTAGATGCTGGAAGCGGAAGTGACAACACAGGTTCAGCCCGACGAAACCTATACAGATACAGTAAGTGCTGTAGTTCACTGTTACATATATGTCTCTGTGGATATGTGTGTTCGCGTGCACGCGTGTTTGAGAGAGATAAAGAGAGAGAGAGAGAGAGAGTGCATGTATGTGTGCGGGTGTGTGAGTGTGTGCATGCGCATGTATGTATGTGCGCGTGTTTGCGCATGTCTGTGCGTGTGAGAGTGTAAGTGTGTACGCGTGTGTGCGTGTAAAGCAAATATTGAAGAGTTGAAAAGCGATTATTATTGACAGTAGTTTAATGCCTTAATTGATGTGAGCTTACTACAACAATCACTTTAATCCAGAAAACTTTATCGAGTAATAAACAAGAAAAATATTTTCAGTAAGAGAGTGATAATCTTTTCCTGGATGCTAAGAAAAAAATGATACTTAGAATGATAGTCATAAACAATTTTCGGATTTGTTTATCAACTTTATTCTTTAAAAAAAATAAAATGCAATTACATCATTTACATTATTCGGACTATTGTCCTCATCTTTGTTGCCATATTTATCACAACGTTTCGGCCGTTGTACGCTCCGGCCTTCTTCAGGTGGTTGGAATTTCGAACTGAACCCTTTATTTTGCTCACTGGGGTAGACTGTTCTAGTTCCACGTGCCATGTTTGATGGATGTCAGATATCAGTTATCTCCTGTTAATTTTCCCTCTGAAAGTTCTCCACAGCCTTAACCGGGTATTGAACTCACACTCTTGGTTAGATCCAGTGACAAAGAGTGTGAGTTCAATACCAGGTTAAGCGATCGAAAATTTAATAATCGGTTGTTGCAAGGTCATGTTGATAAGGCCATGTGAATAAGGCGGGTGAAGCATTTTACTGACTAACCGAGTTCAAAACCTTTTCCTGTATTATTCTTACTTTTGTGTTGTCAGAGGAGAACAACATTTTGCCTATTAACGCATTTCGATCAAATTTTTATGGACAAGTTGCAGCTGCTGGGCGTATAAATGTGCATTTACTGTTTCATTGCGTTTTAAGTGAATAATCCCCTTATGATCCAACCATCTGCATAACATTACCTTTCTTCCATGGAGCTCAGGTTTTGGGATCGGTTGTGGATATTTATCTTGTTACAAAATATTTAGAATTAATTAGAATTTGTTTTCCATTAGACCATTGCAATTTATAAATGTAATATAGATTAAGTTGTATTGTTCAATAAGGAAAATATTCCTTTAATTTTTGTAATAGTGCCTAATATTTTAAACATTTATAGCAAAATTAATAAATTCCAAGAACTTCATAAAAGCAAAAATATACCTTTTTTATGTTCTTTTTTGAACGACTCTTTTTTTTTTTTAACTGATACATATTATAATACTATAGATCTACTTTCAAAACAAAAGAAAATTGCGTCTCTAAATACTGGGTTGAAAGTGACTATATTGACCATTAAGGGATATATTTCTCTGGTTTTACTTGTCAACGAATGATGTATTTTTTCTTTATACCATTATTCATTAATATACTCAGAGGTAGATAGTAGTGTAAATTTCGATTGTTGGATTGTGTTTTGGAGATATACCTGTCTGTAGTGTCTAATATTTAAATGGAGAATGCTATATTTGAAAGTTTTATGTATGCTGTTGTTATTAGTTAGGTATAGATCATTAATAGGTTTTTGGGATTTAAGATGATACAATTTAGGAAGATGTAGGGATTGTCACGCTCACCATAGTTACAAGCAGGTACATTAATATATAAATGATTCTTCATTATAATATAAAAGAAGCAATCACTTAAAATATTTAGACAGACATTTACTGATTTACAACTTGCGATTTGAATATAACGAATTGGCAGAATGTTCAAGTGTTATCTGAGGAATTCGCTCATATAATGCATTCGATTATAATGGGTGCTTCACTTCTGTGGCCGTGTGCCAGACAGACAAATTAAACTAAACTTAGTAATTAACGATGAATTCATTTTACAATTAAATATGAGAGAAAAGAGCTTGGAAAATCTAGCTATAAAAAGACGGAATAGATATCCACAGAATGATACATCTGTATTGGTTTCTATCAAAATTATTAAACAATGTTATTTGCATTTTTAACGGAATTTAAATATTATGAAATATTTTGTAAATAATTCCATGCGGATTAACTGCTAGTGCTTGTTAACCAGTACAATCAGTTTGTTAACAGAAAATGAAACGATATTTATTTTTACACTTCAGGTGAATTTGATTTTTCCTTTTCATTAATTAAATACTTGCCTGTTTCTTCTCTTTGTACAACAATTGTCTTCATTCTCACTGTGAATAGTTAGATTTCATGTACAGAGAATTTGATAGTTGTACTGACCGACTATTAATAGTTGTATCAATTGTTACTGACACACGGCTGAAATGTCTAAATAACTTTGATCGACCGCATGAACGTCAGATGATATTAGTTTATGGTGAATCGCATGTTGATTGACAATTTTGAACTACTTGTATCGAATATTCATTTCGCTCAAACAGATATTCGTTAAGTTTTACATTATTGCTTTTCTTATTTTCATTATCTTTTCATTTTCACGCTTGATATATAAAAAAATGTCCGTATTTTGAAGTAAAAAGTAATTTATTATTGTTAATATTTTAAAGTATCTTTTGCTAATATTGATTTTTGTTGACTTCATTCCTTTTAAACTATGAAAAGTTTGTCTTTGTAGCAGAATTAACAACAAATATTTTTTCTTAATGTTTCCTAAAATTGTTTATATATTTTTTATATATAAATAATATATATCATATAATTTTTTTTAATGTTTCCCAAAATATGCATTCTCCGACAGGATGCGGAGTTGCATCCCCTATAGGGAACCGTAATTGGATCTGACGTGCCAATTTATTATTAGGGGATGCAGGTTCGAATCCTGATGGAAGATGCATATTTTTCTGACAAGATTTTTTTTAATATTCATGTCGGTAGATGTAGTTGGATTAAAATGCTGTTTAATTAAAAAAAAAAACAAAAACAGAGCTTGGATATGAGTATCTATCAAAAATAACGTTTAAACAAAATAAATTAAAATAATAATATGTCGGATTTAATACAGTTGCTATATATATATATATATATATATATATATATATATATATATATATATATATATTATATGGGATTAAAGATGGATTAAAATCCAACAGAATGATAGGATAAGGAACAAATAGGAAACATTTATAAATTTAACTTTTGTTTTTATTTAAATTTCATCAGAAAACAAAGAGGAGTATTATTTCATTGGTTAATTAGAATTCACGTTTATTTATCTTGCCAAGTAGCGTTCGCGCGTATAATTTTTGTGTTTTTGTATCATACATTTAGTTTGTTTATGCGGGATTTGGTTGATAACTTGTGTGCGTTTGTGCGTTGTGGGAATTCACCGACGTGCCGTCGTTTTCCTCTGTCTTTTCTACCAATATTTTCATGGTAACTATTTTCGCTGGTTCCAAAACTGCATGAATTTAAACATGTTACTAGGTTGGCGTCTCAGTCCCACCCTTTCACTGTCAAAACGGTTAAATGTAGCCGCCTCTTCTAATCCAATAACTTCATGTCGCGCACTTCCCATCTGTGGAACTCCCTTCCTCTTACTTGCTTCCCTGACACTTATAGTCTTCAAATATTCAAATGTAATGTCAATCGACATCTTCTGATGCCTTTTCAGTGTGTGTTTATTTTTTTAAATCAACATCACAATGAAATGCAAATTTTATCGCAGTTACACTAAGTTTTATCTTTGCAATTTACTCCTGATGACGATCTTGGAAATGATCGAAAGTTCTAGGGTTAGAAAAAACTACGGTGCTTTCCTTGATGAATTTCAACATGAAGAAGGAAATTAGAGAACTGGAAAGGATCAGTATAAAAATAAATAGACACAATATGTCAAATATTATTCAATACATACATACGTACGTACGTACGTACATAGAAATGTTTAGACCTCTGTCAGTTTGACATTGGCTGAGTCAGTGTGAGAAATGTTAAAGATAGCAAGTGTGTGAAAGCTTTCGATAAACTACTATGTTATGTGGAAAGGAACTCAGTCTTGATGCAACATATACGGCTAACAATTCGATCTGGGGTTTGACTTCAATGTTTAACATATTGAAGTGCGTATCGTTCGGTTCACACACCTGCTCGATCTTTTGAACAGAAGTAGAAATTTATCCCTTGTTTTCTGTTTAGGATTGGGTTTCCGGTTCCTTCTAAAGTCTACTGCAACCAATAATTCTAACGCCTCCGCCTAAAACTCGGAACTGTTATTTATTATTTATTTACATTTTTCCTCAATAGGAGAAGATAGGTTTGCCTATCGTCCAGTTTATACTTCTCCCCGATCGTTTGAAAAGGAGTAGAGGTGCATCTTACTCTGTAAGCCTCTACCATGAGTGTCTCTTGGGCATTGTATAGGGTTAAAAATGGTACGCATCAACTCTCACGACCATCACAGACGACTTGCATACTTCTGTTGTGTCCTCGTAGAAGTACATTTTTTTCAATGATCACTTTCAAAAAAATCGTCGCTATAGTTAACGATTAATCTTACAAAAACAAGCACAGCATCACTTATTCATTTCTTCTGTCAGACTACAAAAGCTACTATGTTAATTGTCTCGATATGTTGGAAAGACAATGTTAAAATTGGGGGCAAGGCGCATGACATTACGTTGGGTCGACGTTGATTTCTGGCCCGCTAAAGTTGTATTATCAAATACGTGGTGCACTATACAATTCATGTGTAATTTAGAAATATTTCTTCATATATATATATATATATATATATATATATATATATATGTGTGTGTGTGTGTGTGTGTGTGTGTGTGTGTGTGTGTGTGTGCGTGTGTGCGTGTTTGTGTTTGCGCGTGTGTATGTATACGTGTATTTGTGCGTGTACACTTTTGTGTAACTGAAATTTTGTGATGTTATTTTTCAAGAGTTACTTAAATATTGTTATGAGAAAATTCTTTCAAATTGTATCTCCAAATGCCTTCATTTTGAGCACAAAAAAAACATCGTAAGCAGAACGGATAAAAAGTGATGTTGTCATAATAACAAGTAAACATTTGTTTATTTGTTTGCATGTTTCTTTTGTTTGCTCCTGCATGAGTTTAGACAACCATTCTTTTCTTTTGTTTCTTTTTCTATTAATTCTTCATTACTCTTCAGGTCATTCGTCCATCTTTTAACATTCATTCTTTTTTTCTTTTGTTTCGTTTTCTATTCATTCTTCGTTACTCGTCATTCGTCCTTTTTTTTAACATTCATTTTTTTTTTCTTTTGTTTCTTTTTTCTATTCATTTTTTCGTTTACTCTTTTAGGTCATTCGTCCTTCTTTTTTAACATTCATTCTTTTTTTGTCTTTTGTTTCTTTTCTATTAATTCTTCATTTCTCTTTAGGGCATTCGTCCTTCTTTTAACATTCATTCTTTTTTTCTTTTGTTTCTTTTGCTATTCATTTTTCGTTACTCTTTAGGTCATTCGTCCTTCTTTTAACATTCATTCTTTTTTTCTTTTCTTACTTTTGCTATTCATTTTTCGTTACACTTTAGGTTAATCGTCCTTCTTTTAACATTCATTCTTTTTTTCTTTTGTTTCTTTTGCTATTCATTTTTCGTTACTCTTTAGGTCATTCGTCCTTCTTTTAACATTCATTCTTTTTTTCTTTTGTTTCTTTTGCTATTAATTCTTCGTTACTCTTTAGGTCATTCGTCCTTCTTTTAACATTCATTCTTTTTTTCTTTTCTTTCTTTTTCTATTAATTCTTCATTACTCTTTAGGTCATTCGTCCTTCTTTTAACATTCATTCTTTTTTTCTTTTCTTTCTTTTGCTATTCATTTTTCGTTACTCTTTAGGTCATTGTTCCTTCTTTTAACATTCATACTTCTTTTCTTTTCTTTCTTTTTCTATTAATTCTTCATTACTCTTTAGGTCATTCGTCTTTTTTAACATTCATTCTTCTTTTCTTTTCTTTCTTTTTCTATTAATTCTTCATTACTCTTTAGGTCATTCGTCCTTCTTTTAACATTCATTCTTTTTTTCTTTTGTTTCTTTTTCTATTAATTCTTCATTACTCTTTAGGTCATTCGTCCTTCTTTTAACATTCATTCTTTTTTTTTCTTTTCTTTCTTTTGCTATTCATTTTTTCGTTACTCTTTACGTCATTCGTCCTTCTTTTTAACATTCATACTTCTTTTCTTTTGTTTCTTTTGCTATTAATTCTTCATTACTCTTTAGGTCATTCGTCCTTCTTTTAACATTCATTCTTTTTTTCTTTTCTTTCTTTTTCTATTCATTTTTCGTTACTCTTTAGGTCATTCGTCCTTCTTTTAACATTCATACTTCTTTTCTTTTGTTTCTTTTTCTATTAATTCTTCATTACTCTTTAGGTCATTCGTCCTTCTTTTAACATTCATTCTTTTTTTCTTTTGTTTATTTTGCTATTCATTTTTCGTTACTCTTTAGGTCATTTGTCCTTCTTTTAACATTCATACTTCTTTTCTTTTGTTTCTTTTTCTATTAATTCTTCATTACTCTTTAGGTCATTCGTCCTTCTTTTAACATTCATTCTTTTTTTCTTTTGTTTCTTTTGCTATTCATTTTTCGTTACTCTTTAGGTCATTCGTCCATTTTTAACATTCATACTTCTTTTCTTTTGTTTCTTTTGCTATTAATTCTTCGTTACTCTTTAGGTCATTCGTCCTTCTTTTAACATTCATTCTTTTTTTCTTTTGTTTCTTTTTCTATTAATTCTTCATTACTCTTTTAGGTCATTCGTCCTTCTTTTTAACATTCATTCTTTTTTTTCTTTTGTTTCTTTTTGCTATTCATTTTTCGTTACTCTTTAGGTCATTCGTCCTTCTTTTAACATTCATACTTTTTTTCTTTTGTTTATTTTTTCTATTAATTCTTCATTACTCTTTAGGTCATTCGTCCTTCTTTTAACATTCATTCTTTTTTTAAATTTTGTTTTTTTTGCTATTCTTTTTTCGTTACTGTTTTAGGTCATTCGTCCTTCTTTTTAACATTCATACTTCTTTTCTTTTTGTTTCTTTTTCTATTAATTCTTCATTACTCTTTAGGTCATTCGTCCTTCTTTTAACATTCATTTTTTTTTCTTTTTTTTTTTTTCTATTCATTTTCGTTACTCTTTAGGTCATTCTGTCCTTCTTTTAACATTCATACTTCTTTTCTTTTGTTTCTTTTTCTATTAATTCTTCATTACTCTTTACGTCATTCGTCCTTCTTTTAACATTCATCTTTTTTTTCTTTTTGTTTCTTTTGCTATTCATTTTTCGTTACTCTTTAGGTCATTCGTCCTTCTTTTAACATTCATTCTTCTTTTTCTTTTGTTTTCTTTTTCTATTAATTCTTCATTACTCTTTAGGTCATTCGTCCTTCTTTTAACATTCATTTTTTTTTCTTTTTGTTTTTTTTGCTATTCATTTTTTCGTTACTCTTTTAGGTCATTCGTCCTTTTTAACATTCATACTTCTTTTCTTTTGTTTCTTTTGCTATTAATTCTTCGTTACTCTTTAGGTCATTCGTCCTTCTTTTAACATTCATTCTTTTTTTTTCTTTTTCTTTCTTTTCTATTAATTCTTCATTACTCTTTGGGTCATTCGTCCTTCTTTTTTTAACATTCATTCTTTTTTTCTTTTCTTTCTTTTTGCTATTCCTTTTTTCGTTAATCTTTAGGTCATTCGTCATTCTTTTAACATTCATACTTCTTTTCTTTTGTTTCTTTTGCTATTAATTCTTCATTACTCTTTAGGTCATTCGTCCTTCTTTTAACATTCATTCTTTTTTTTTTTCTTTCTTTTGCTATTCATTTCTCGTTACTCTTTAGGTCATTCGTCCTTCTTTTAACATTCATACTTCTTTTCTTTTGTTTCTTTTGCTATTAATTCTTTCGTTACTCTTTTAGGTCATTCGTCCTTCTTTTTTAACATTCATTCTTTTTTTCTTTTCTTTCTTTTTCTATTACTTCTTCATTACTCTTTAGGTCATTCGTCCTTCTTTTAACATTCATTCTTTTTTTCTTTTGTTTCTTTTGCTATTAATTCTTCATTACTCTTTACGTCATTCGTCCTTCTTTTTTAACATTCATTCTTTTTTCTTTTTTTTCTTTTGCTATTCATTTTTTCGTTACTCTTTACGTCATTCGTCCTTCTTTTTAACATTCATTCTTTTTTTTTCTTTTGTTTCTTTTGCTATTCATTTTCGTTACTCTTTTAGTTCATTCGTCCTTCTTTTAACATTCATACTTTTTTTTTTTGTTTCTTTTCTATTAATTCTTCATTACTCTTTAGGTCATTCGTCCTTCTTTTAACATTCATTCTTTTTTTTTTTTTTTCTTTTGCTATTCATTTTGTTATTCATTTCTCGTCCTTCTTTTTAGGTCATTCTTTTCTTTTGTTTCTTTTTTTTTTAATTCTTCATTCTCTTTACTTCATTTTTTTTTTTTCATTTTTTTTTTTCTAATTTCGTTATTCATTTTCGTCATTCGTCATTTCTTTTTTAACATTTATTCTTTTTTTTCTTTTTTTATTTTTGCTATTCATTTTTCGTTACTCTTTTAGGTCATTCGTCCTTCCTTCTTTTATCATTCATTCTTTTTTCTTTTCTTTTTTCTTTTCTATTCATTTTTTACTCTATTCATTTTTCGTTACTTTTAGGTCATTCGTCCTTCTTTTTTAACATTCATTCTTTTTTCGTTTTTTTTCATTCATTCTTTTGTATTCATTTTTCGTTAATTCTTCATTTAGTTCATTAGTCCTGGTTTTAACATTCATTCTTTTTCTTTTGTTTCTTTTGCTATTCATTTTTCGTTACTCTTTAGGTCATTCGTCCTTCTTTTAACATTCATTCTTTTTTTCTTTTCTTTCTTTTTCTATTAATTCTTCATTACTCTTTAGGTCATTCGTCCTGGTTTTAACATTCATTCTTTTTGTATTTTCTTTCTTTTTCTATTAATTCTTCATTACTCTTTAGGTCATTCGTCCTGGTTTTAACATTCATTCTTTTTGTCTTTTCTTTCTTTTGCTATTCATTTTTCGTTACTCTTTAGGTCATTCGTCCTTCTTTTAACATTCATTCTTTTTTTCTTTTCTTTCTTTTGCTATTCATTTTCGTTACTCTTTAGGTCATTCGTCCTTCTTTTAACATTCATTCTTTTTTTCTTTTTTGTTTCTTTTTCTATTAATTCTTCGTTACTCTTTAGGTCATTCGTCCTGGTTTTAACATTCATTTTTTCTTTTTTTTTTTTTTTGCTATTCATTTTCGTTACTCTTTAGGTCATTCGTCCTTCTTTTAACATTCATTCTTTTTTTCTTTTCTTTCTTTTGCTATTCATTTTCGTTACTCTTTAGGTCATTCGTCCTTCTTTTTAACATTCATACTTCTTTTCTTTTTTTTTTTTTTCTATTAATTCTTCGTTACTCTTTAGGTCATTCGTCCTTCTTTTAACATTCATTCTTTTTCTTTTCTTTCTTTTTTTTGCTATTCATTTTTCGTTACTCTTTACGTCATTCGTCCTTCTTTTTAACATTCATTCTTTTTTTTTTTTTTTTCTTTTGCTATTCATTTTTTCATTCTTTTTCTTTACTCTTTAGTTCATTCGTCCTTCTTTTAACATTTTATTCTTTTTTTTCTTTTTTTGTTTTTTTTTTCTATTAATTTTTCATTACTCTTTAGGTCATTCGTCCTTCTTTTAACATTCATTCATTTTTTTCTTTTCTTTTTTTTTTATTCATTTTCGTTACTCTTTTTAGGTCATTCGTCCTTCTTTTAACATTCATTCTTCTTTTAACATTCATTCTTTTTCTTTTGTTTCTTTTGCTATTAATTCTTCGTTACTCTTTAGGTCATTCGTCCTTCTTTTAACATTTATTCTTTTTTTCTTTTGTTTCTTTTGCTATTCATTTTTCGTTACTCTTTAGGTCATTCGTCCTTCTTTTAACATTCATTTTTTTTTCTTTTTCTTTCTTTGCTATTCATTTCTCGTTACTCTTTAGGTCATTCGTCCTTCTTTTAACATTCATACTTCTTTTCTTTTGTTTCTTTTTTGCTATTAATTCTTCATTACTCTTTTAGGTCATTCGTCCTTCTTTTTAACATTCATTCTTTTTTTTTCTTTTTTTTTTTATTCATTTTTCGTTACTCTTTAAGTCATTCGTCCTTCTTTTAACATTCATACTTCTTTTCTTTTGTTTCTTTTGCTATTAATTCTTCGTTACTCTTTAGGTCATTTGTCCTTCTTTTAACATTCATTCTTTTTTTCTTTTCTTTCTTTTTCTATTAATTCTTCATTACTCTTTAGGTCATTCGTCCTGGTTTTAACATTCATTCTTTTTGTCTTTTCTTTCTTTTGCTATTCATTTTTCGTTACTCTCTAGGTCATTTGTCCTTCTTTTAACATTCATACTTCTTTTCTTTTGTTTCTTTTGCTATTAATTCTTCGTTACTCTTTAGGTCATTCGTCCTTCTTTTAACATTCATTCTTTTTTTCTTTTGTTTCTTTTGCTATTCATTTTTCGTTACTCTTTAGGTCATTCGTCATTCTTTTAACATTCATACTTCTTTTCTTTTGTTTCTTTTGCCATTAATTCTTCGTTACTCTTTAGGTCATTCGTCCTTCTTTTAACATTCATTCTTTTTTTCTTTTCTTTCTTTTTCTATTAATTCTTCATTACTCTTTAGGTCATTTGTCCTTCTTTTAACATTCATACTTCTTTTCTTTTGTTTCTTTTTGCTATTAATTCTTCGTTACTTTTTTAGGTCATTCGTCCTTCTTTTAACATTCATTTTTTTTTTCTTTTGTTTCTTTTGCTATTCATTTTTCGTTACTCTTTAGGTCATTCGTCATTCTTTTAACATTCATACTTCTTTTCTTTTGTTTCTTTTGCCATTAATTCTTCGTTACTCTTTAGGTCATTCGTCCTTCTTTTAACATTCATTCTTTTTTTCTTTTCTTTCTTTTTCTATTAATTCTTCATTACTCTTTAGGTCATTCGTCCTTCTTTTAACATTCATTCTTTTTTTCTTTTCTTTCTTTTGCTATTCATTTTTCGTTACTCTTTAGGTCATTCGTCCTTCTTTTAACATTCATACTTCTTTTCTTTTGTTTCTTTTGCTATTAATTCTTCATTACTCTTTAGGTCATTCGTCCTTCTTTTAACATTCATTCTTTTTTTCTTTTCTTTCTTTTGCTATTCATTTTTCGTTACTCTTTAAGTCATTCGTCCTTCTTTTAACATTCATACTTCTTTTCTTTTGTTTCTTTTTCTATTAATTCTTCATTACTCTTCAGGTCATTCGTCCATCTTTTAACATTCATTCTTTTTTTCTTTTGTTTCGTTTTCTATTCATTCTTCGTTACTCGTCATTCGTCCTTTTTTTTAACATTCATTCTTTTTTTCTTTTGTTTCTTTTTCTATTCATTTTTCGTTACTCTTTAGGTCATTCGTCCTTCTTTTAACATTCATTCTTTTTTTCTTTTGTTTCTTTTTCTATTAATTCTTCATTTCTCTTTAGGTCATTCGTCCTTCTTTTAACATTCATTCTTTTTTTCTTTTGTTTCTTTTGCTATTCATTTTTCGTTACTCTTTAGGTCATTCGTCCTTCTTTTAACATTCATACTTCTTTTCTTTTGTTTCTTTTGCTATTAATTCTTCGTTACTCTTTAGGTCATTCGTCCTTCTTTTAACATTCATTCTTTTTTTCTTTTCTTTTTTTCTATTAATTCTTCATTACTCTTTAGGTCATTCGTCCTTCTTTTAACATTCATTCTTTTTTTCTTTTCTCTCTTTTGCTATTCATTTTTCGTTACTCTTTAGGTCATTCGTCCTTTTAACATTCATACTTCTTTTCTTTTGTTTCTTTTGCTATTAATTCTTCGTTACTCTTTAGGTTATTCGTCCTTCTTTTAACATTCATTCTTTTTTTCTTTTCTTTCTTTTTCTATTCATTTTTCGTTACTCTTTAGGTCATTCGTCCTTCTTTTAACATTCATTATTTTTTCTTTTCTTTCTTTTGCTATTCATTTTTCGTTACTCTTTAGGTAATTCGTCCTTCTTTTAACATTCATTCTTTTTTTCTTTTGTTTCTTTTGCTATTCATTTTTCGTTACTCTTTAGGTCATTCGTCCTTCTTTTAACATTCATTCTTTTTTTCTTTTCTTTCTTTTGCTATTCATTTTTCGTTACTCTTTAGGTCATTCGTCCTTCTTTTAACATTCATTCTTTTTTTCTTTTGTTTCTTTTTCTATTAATTCTTCATTTCTCTTTAGGTCATTCGTCCTTTTTTAACATTCATTCTTCTTTTCTTTTGTTTCTTTTTCTATTAATTCTTCGTTACTCTTTAGGTCATTCGTCCTTCTTTTAACATTCATTCTTTTTTTCTTTTGTTTCTTTTTCTATTCATTCTTCATTACTCTTTACGTCATTCGTCCTTCTTTTAACATTCATTCTTTTTTTCTTTTGTTTCTTTTTCTATTCATTCTTCGTTACTCTTTAGGTCATTCGTCCTTCTTTTAACATTCATTCTTTTTTTCTTGTTTCTTTTTCTATTCATTCTTCGTTACTCTTTAGGTTATTCGTCCTTCTTTTAACATTCATTCTTTTTTTCTTTTGTTTCTTTTTCTATTAATTCTTCATTACTCTTTACGTCATTCGTCCTTCTTTTAACATTCATTCTTTTTTTCTTTTGTTTCTTTTTCTATTCATTCTTCGTTACTCTTTAGGTCATTCGTCCTTCTTTTAACATTCATTCTTTTTTTCTTGTTTCTTTTTCTATTCATTCTTCGTTACTCTTTAGGTTATTCGTCCTTCTTTTAACATTCATTCTTTTTTTTTTTTTTGTTTTTTCTATTAATTCTTCATTACTCTTTAGGTCATTCGTCCTTCTTTTAACATTCATTCTTTTTTTCTTTTCTTTCTTTTTCTATTCATTCTTCGTTACTCTTTAGGTCATTCGTCCTTCTTTTAACATTCATTCTTTTTTTCTTTTGTTTTTTTTTTCTATTAATTCTTCATTACTCTTTAGGTCATTCGTCCTTCTTTTAACCTTCATTCTTTTTTTCTTTTGTTTCTTTTTCTATTCATTCTTCGTTACTCTTTAGGTTATTCGTCCTTCTTTTAACATTCATTCTTTTTTTCTTTTGTTTCTTTTTCTATTAATTCTTCATTACTCTTTAGGTCATTCGTCCTTCTTTTAACATTCATTCTTTTTTTCTTTTGTTTCTTTTTCTATTCATTCTTCGTTACTCTTTAGGTCATTCGTCCTTCTTTTAACATTCATTCTTTTTTTCTTTTCTTTCTTTTTCTATTAATTCTTCGTTACTCTTTAGGTCATTCGTCCTTCTTTTAACATTCATTCTTTTTTTCTTTTGTTTCTTTTGCTATTAATTCTTCATTACTCTTTAGGTCATTCGTCCTTCTTTTAACATTCATTCTTCTTTTCTTTTCTTTCTTTTCTTAACTTTATTTTCAAAGTTCTCTTTTCTTCTTTCCTTTTTGTCCACCACCACACCCATTCACAGCCTCTAAATTTTTTATCCTCACAATTTTACAATTTCTTTTGCCACTTTTTATTTTTGTTTTGCTTTTCCTATATGTTTTCTTTGTTTCTTTTTTCTCTGCCACTCCATAACTTCAGAATGCTTTTCTATTTTTTGCTCCCACCAAACCATAGTTGTGTTGTTGTTCTTATCTTTTCTATACAATGCTTTTCTCTAACATATGTCATTTGACATCTTTCAACCAAAATTTGCACGCCGACAAGGGAAAATGCCTATCCATGTGGATAGGAGCGTCTGTTTTTAAACGCAAACTTACATACATAAGACATGCATGTTATTTTTTCACTGTCCATATAAACCCGATAAATGACGGAGACGTCCCTGAATAGCAGAGGCCAGGCTTGTGTCGGGGATTTGCCGTAGTTCAAAGCCGGCGTCATGTTGACTTTGGCCAATATCTCTTTTGATCTGTCAGAATTGATGCAGTTTCATTTGACATCACATGTCATGAGGAATTACGACTATTACTGCTTGCACACATACAACTACTACTCACAAAAAGAGAAGGTGAAGAAGAAAAAGAAAGAGTAAATAATAATAATAATAATAATAATAATAATAATATTGTAATAGAAAATGTAGACTTTATTTTTCGTCATAAAGTTAAGCCATATAAACAAGATAGTATTTCCAGAAGAATGAAAGTAAAGTTTTACAGACAGACAAATAGCAAAACAAATGAGAAATTGAATGCAATTCATATTTGAACACCTTATCTAATTGCAAGAAAGAATCATATTAAAGTTGAGGAAACAACTTGGGTTCATGCGAATTTATATGCGTTTTGAAGAAATCTAAGGAATATTACTGAATCGAAAGTTCCAGACTATATGGAATCCATGAGTTTTGGCTCAAAAGTTTCACATGAATGACTAAACCAACTAAGTATGAATGCTTAATAGAAGCAAAGACCCTAGAATGGATGAGAAAAGACGATCCTGATATAAAAATGTCGAAAAGGGAATAATTGTAAGTCATATGTAGGTGCCAGTTTCATATATGGAATATCCTAACAAGGTAACATCATGTGGAGGTAATTTAGTTCTTGTTAGAAAGCGGAGGACATCTGACCAAGAAACAGAGAAGATGAAGAAGAATTCCGGGTGGATGTTAAATAACGATTCATCAGAAATCCTGGAAAGAACTAAAACCAAGGAAGAAGAATCTAGCAATGGCATCGAATGATTGCTAAGATTTGATCTTTCAACCTCAAAATATTAAAATTCGGAAATATGCCTTCATAAGCTTCAGAACATTTAATCAATTTTTTATCCAATTCAATGAAGAACCGAGGGTTAATTATAGCCGTAGAATCCTTTGTGAAAGTAAACCAAAAAGAGACGTTTATCAAATATACTGTATTCTTAATTTTTAATTTATTTTATAAAGATTCAGTTCATTTTTTTTTTATAGTTATAATATTTTCTTTGCTTAAAAGGCAAATGTAGTAAAAAGTTTCATTTCCAGTGCGCGAAATTCGTTATCAATATTTTATCGGATAAAAAAATTCAAATTCAATAATGAAGAAAGATTTTAGTGAATATATGTATACGTATCTGTGTTTTTTCTCGCAAATTATTTAAAGTATTTTATATTCTATTCATTAATTTACAAAGATTTTCAGATCAACTGAACATTTTGTCTAAGAAAACGATACACAAACATTAGCCCAAAATATAAGGAAATTCTAGAAATTATTTCCCGTTAAGCCTAAAAGTGAAAAACTAAACGAAACCCATTTCGTAAGTGTAGATAATCAAAGTTAACAGGAACAAAGTTCTCTAACAAAATAGTTGCAAGAAGGAAGAAATTCAATGATTACAAGGAGTGAATGAGTGAATATTTAAAAAAGAAAAAGAAAAAAGGGTCTTTGAAATATTTTAATTGTTAGTATATAACGGTTTTTAACTAAACTTAAAGGGCTGTACATTTACCAAACAATGTCTTTAAAAAGATTTATTTTCATGTGAAGGCTTCTGGCCCTTCGTTGAAGCTGTAAGCTCTCTACTCATGTTCATTTTTTCAATACATTTACAATCTTGTCTAGTCTAGAAGAAATGACAAGCAAACTGCTTCTATATAAGATCGTTGTGCCATATCAGCAATACGAAGTCATTCTGCTTTATACAGACCATATAAAGATTTTTTATTTGTCCAGTCAGAAAATGAAATTGCCGAGTAATATTATTAGAATTATCAAATATGTTTCAGAAGTTTTGATTGAATAGGTCTATTTCTTTTTTGTCAAAGCCAACATCGAGAAGAAATTAATATTCCTGAATATCTTTTTTTCAAACAGTAACCTTTAATGTTCTCTTCACGCATTTTTTCCTTTGTTTTTCGTTCTGCATCCCTGAAAAATAAGAATGTATGCATTCCATTTCATATATAATGTGGGATGTTCATTTTTGTGCTTGCTATGTGGTAGAATTATCTGACTATATATCTGAACGCTTAACGTACTGAAGATGTTTTTGTGAATTTATCTCATTCAGTCTGTGACGAGTGCGTTTTACAAATGTTTCCTTTGCGCTAATCTCTTGATGTGATTAAATATATTTTATTTTTGATAGGCACAGGCGTGAACATAAAATATTAACCATTGTCGTTCTTTTTATCTAATTCAAATTAAAGTCTGTCAACAAGCATCTAGTCCGAAAGCAAATATTTTACACATTGTAAAGTTTACATCATAATTTTAACTTATGTATTTAGGAATTAAGAAACACGAAACTTTCGTCAGAAACAAAGACAAGAGTGCTAAACTGATGAAGAGGAGACTTGAGGTAATAGAGATGTCATTCTACAAATGAATACTGAGAATATCATTAACAGAACATGTGAGCAACGACGAAATTTCATGGAAAATGTAAATCAAAGGGCACTTATAGTTAGAATCAGAAATAGACAGTTGAAATGTCTGCGACACATAACGAGGACATGTGACTTGGAGAATTTGACACTCACATGACTGATTGAAGGAAAGGGTGCAGACAAAGGCAGCGAATAAGTAACCTGATAATTTAGTGTAAATGAATGGCAGAACAGGAAGTAGGAGGGATAGTAATATGGGAAACATATGCTGATAGGATAGGAAGATGTGGAGAGTCATTACCTCTCAATCCCTTACGAAAGATTTATCCATTAAAAATTGTATAAAACCTAAAAATCAAATTGCAGATATACCTATATTTGCATGCTTATTTGTGCACACGCACATGAGCAAAAAAAAAAGCATATCCACACGCACATTTTTACATTCAGCTTCCAGTCATCTATATATATATATATATATATGTGTGTGTGTGTGTGTGTGTGTGTGTGTGTGTAGGTACACGCATATGCATATATAGTGATTTATTAAGCATAGCTTAGATGCGACAGTCGGGGCTCACCCAGTGAAGATCGAACCCACTATTCAGTCCAGACATGCTTGCTAACCATTATAACATATCGAAGTGCTCAATGCTTAAGTATATATAACATCGATAAAAAATGAACCCTCTCTTTTGAGTGGCTCTCAAGCTTTGTACAGTGTGAACCTCAATGTAAAAAAAAATGCATATTATTGTACACTTTTGAAACAGGGACTTACCTCTTATACAGATGTGTGAATTTCTATATGTAGACACATTTCAATACACGTTTCTATGAAGAAGAAACTATTTAAGCCGTCATTAGACTCTTCTAAAGTTGTGTAGCCAGTGTTACGTGTGTGGCGTATGTAATATGATCACAGACCAACATTTAGCGGCCACTTCTGATCTCGGCACCTCTGAACGCTATTTATCAGTGTTCCAAAAAGACAAAAAACTGGGTGTTACCGACCCTGATTATTGCAATTTTCTTCTCTTTCTGAAGATTTATTTTTTATATTGTTCTTTTATTTATTTTGCTTCGTAAAAAAGGTTCTTTTTCTTGGACGCCATCGACTTTTATTCACATAGCATTTTCTACTCTTGTCCTCTTCGTTGATTTTCAACCTATCAAATCTTTCAGTGGTATTTCTCTTTCTGTGTCTTTCACTTTTGCTTGATTGTTCTGTCATAAATACTATTTCTAATTTTCCTTGTGATTCTTAAACTATTTCTACGCTGTTAATTCAACAAAATCTTTAGTTAATTTCTCTCTCTTTATCTGCTTTTCGTCTATCTATCTATCTATCTATCTATCTATCTATCTATCTATCTATCTATCTATCTATCTATCTATCTATCTTACTTTCCTCTGTCTAGTTTACTTTATCCGATTTTTATGGTTTTTGACAACAATAAACTTGCAGTTTGTCATTGGTAAAACCACAAATAAACGCCCATATTACGAATAATATGCTCATTCTTCAAACACTAAATCGTGAGTAAACGCTATTTATCCCAAATACACCTTCCAATAAAGAAATTATACAGTACAAGGAGAAAGCGGTGGTGTATTTCGGAGACCGTCAACAGTTTTTCATGTAGCAAGTCTAGCCTTATTAACTCATAAAAATCATTAAATTTTAAGTAAACTTTTAACTCTTAAGGACATTAGATCAGCTGTTAGCGAGTACAAAAGTTCCCCAAACAGAACGTTATTTCTGGCTGAATGTTTTATTTAATTAGATTTACCCATTTTGTTCTACTGAATGAAAAACCTTCGTCAAAATGAATGTAAAGCAAAATTTCAATCCAATTGAGTTGGCAAAAACTTTCATTCTATATTTGCTATTAGATAGCATGAAGAGCATTTGGGTTTCACTTAATTTTAAACTTTGATTGGATCGTAATAGCTATGATTTCAGCGTGCGTTTAAATAAATGTCAAAATTGCTGTATTTTTGTTTATTAATTCTAACACTGAAAATGGAAGAAAATAAGCAATATTTTTTTATATTTTTTTCTTTTCGTTCGCAGCCATATGTTTGAATTTTGTCTAGTGATAAAATTCGTAACACTATATACACATCGACATCCTTCCCACTGTCATCATG